CCACTTGGTTTAGCCGTGCATTATCAGCCAATATACCATGGATTGCATATGCAAATTTTGTGTTTGGACCAATCAAATCAATGGATTAACACCATCAATATACTGGTATAATATAATTCAAGATATTGATTAAATTTCAATAAAAATCATTTCTTGTGTTTGCATACCCCAGCTGTCTTCATCTGTTTTCTCAATTGCTACTGCAAAATAGATTCAGAACATTTTGCTATACAATTCCTGTTCTGCCCACTATAAATTTGCATAATTTGCACTGGCACTATTAGCAGTGGCAGGATGTTTTCTCATATTCATACTAATGAATTTGGTGTGTGGTATATGTTTATGCTATGTGTATCTGGCCAACAAGATAATAAGTCATTGAACACATATGCTGAACAGCTTTTCGTTTTGGCTAAAGTAATGTAGACAGAAACAAAAATTTGTCATCGCGCCTTTGCTGATGTTGCAAGAGTCAACTTGAAAGTTTTGAAAAAATGACAAAACCTATAGAAATGGCATATCTTGACAAATTCACCAGCCTATGTAGACCTTTTGAAGTCTCTGAACTACCAATGCTAAACATTTCACTAATTGTGTGGTATATTCAAACAAAATGCAGTACAAGTACACATAAGTAATGGCATTTTATTATTATTTGGAATCTATTCAACATTAAAGTGCATCTGCAATTTTTTTTCCCAGGGATTACCCTCCCAGGAAAATGATAAAGATTGCGGTATATTTGTTTTAAAGGTATGTACTAAAGTTTATTTTTTGTATTTGAAGCAGTGAATGTTTATTAAATCTATTATTTGTTGTGTACTATTGATCAATGAGGACATTTTGAGGACAATATTATTGACTGATTTGTTCTCAACTTGGTACACTTATGCCCCTGCTTTTCTATTTGTTCAGATACAAAATAGCTGACTGGTGGCCATATTTTACCCCAAAATATACAAAAAACCCACATTTTGTTTAGCATTAACTCCAAGTCATGCTGGCTGATTCTGTTCAAACTTAGAATATGGGTAACACCTATTAGCATACTGAAGTATGTAAATTATTTTTCAGATTTTCTGGCAAAATGCTATTTTTTTGTCAGTACATTTATTCAGATTTGGTACAGAGGAGTATATTATTCAATGAAGATGTTAATTTTTGTTAAAATTATATGCAATAGGGCTGACCAGCAGCCATTATGTCAGACAGAAAACAAACATTTTTCTCCTTTTTCAAGTGTTGATTTGGGTTACAATGTAATTAAACATAGTTGACTGGTAGCCATACACCATATCATATTCCAAATCATAATGTATTTTGAGATAGTTATAACCATAAAATATGTCTGCTCTCGCAATCTTCGTATGTCTACCTCCATCCGGGTACCTTGTTCCTGAATTTACCTGATATATGCAAATAACTTGTGAAAAGAACACAATAAGCGGCAATATTCATGAACTGATTAGTTTGCAAGTTTTACATTCACTATCTTTTCGGGCACAAAAACTAGGATTTTGTAGCAATTTTTCGTAATTTTTAGTTACACTTGCTGTGCGTTTCGGCGGCACGCTCAGCTACACGCTTGAAACATTTGATCTGAGATTGCGCAGTTCGTCTACCCAACAAATATGAGAGTCGTTGTGACCGCACAGTTTTGTTTGATTTTGTTGAGTATTCTGTTGGTTTTGACAGTATATTGACATATTAGGTACAGTGTATTTGTTGGAAGAGAATGGTGTTGACGTAAACTATACTCAGTGTGTTTCAGTGTTATAATATAAACTGGAACACAGTGTTGCGTATAGCTGCGCACACAATGACACTAGATGTGTTTATAAAAATCAATTCTTCGTCAGGCTGAAGCTGTAGAAATTCGGTTTATCAATACAATCATGGAGTAACAAATCAGTAGAATTCAATCAGTGCTCTTGAACTTTTTCTACTTGTCTATTTGTCTTCATGCATTCAGTTCTACCAGGGTGACCTGGAAGATTGTCATGATTGAATGCTAAAACTGTATGTCAATCTCTGTTGTGGTGAACATTTGTATAATGTACAAAAACAGAAGGGGTTGTGACATTCTCAATGGCTTGTTGATAATTTATTACATTTTGTCTGAATTTTATTCCTTGAGAACAGGCATTTTTAATGCATTATATTGCCTAAACCTATACTTAGTGTTTACATGTATGTAGTGAAGTGTGTATTATTCTGGATCTGCATGATAAAACATTCCATTAATCACAGCATATTCTTATATATATTTTATAAATTTTTTGAATTATGTAGTACTTGAAATGCTGTATCCTTGGTGAAGATGTTGATTTTCAGGTAATAAAATTATTAAATACATATTTTTTTTAGTAATTTTAAAAACTGCTTTTGCATACATTATAATATTGATCATCCTCCTATAGGTTGATTCATCTTTGATGAGAACAGAAATAAAAAGAGACCTGATCCACTGGTATGTGTTATGCTACTGCTGAACAAATTCATGCTAGTCATAAATCTCACTGTACAGTAATAATTGTTTTAAATTACTATAAGTGTAATTTTGTTGTGTAATCATGTTAGATATAATGTTCTCTGTTATTTGCTACTTTCTTATCTGCCTGAAAATGTATTGAATTTAGCACTTGGTATTGCTTTGGACAGTATTATTGGTCAAATCTATCAACATCATTTTCATACAGTTAATGAATAAGTTATTTATATTGTCTGACAAATTCTCTGTTTTACCAGCATTAATAGATCTATAAAGTGTTATAATTGCATGTACTATATAGTTGAATGTTCAGATAAATTTTAAAGACCAGTTTGTATTACTATATATCCATTTTATTTTTCTGTGAATGTTTGTCTTAAATAGACTGTTTTCCACAATTGTAAACTCATACTAGATATTCACCACACCAAATTAAAATTCAGCAATCAGATGACTCGTGTTAATGTTCAATCTTGGGGGCTATATTCCTAATACTTTACTTGCTTTTTTTTTAGGAAACCACTACCTGAGGAGCATGAAAAATCTATGGATGTCATACTTTCAGGTTAATAACAATACAGATTATTGCTATTGCATCACTGTGTTATCCACTACCTTGTTGTATTACATTTGTTGCTCCTTATCATGAACCATTTCGGTGTGTATGCAAGGAGAGTTTACTCCCCCAATATTCTGTCAAAAAATAATAAAAGGTAATAAAAGGCATTTTGATGCTCAATCATGATACAATAATGGAACATGCTGTGTCAGCTTCATTAGTTTCATGATTGATTAAATTCTGCTGTTTCAGATAAAGTTTCGGGTTTTGTGCATGCATTTCTTTGTTCATCTGACACAATTGTATGTTTAGGCATGTCAATTTGTTTGGCATTTTGTTGATCCTTTACTGACTGATGCCCAGTTTTTGTCTTCCCTGGGTTAAGTTTTAGAAAACACCAAGAACACACACACTAGAGCCTTTTTTAGCTCCGCTATCAACTTTGGCGAGCGGAGCTTATCATATGAGTGATTTCCAGCGCTGTCTGTGTCAATGTTTTACTTTTTCGACTTCTTCTTGAAAACTACAAGCCTGAATGCTTTGATACTTGGTGTGTATGTACCATGGGTAGACCTCTCTAAGATTTGTTCATTTCATGATATCTTTAATTCTCTAATTTTGGTGAATATTTTTGGTCATTGTTGGTTAAAAGTGATATTTTCAACTTCTTCTTGAAAACCACAAGTCCGATTGCTTTGATATTACATATATAGGTACTAAATGTGGACCTCTCTCAGATTTGTTGATTTTGTGATGATATCTTTAATTCTTTAACTTTGATGAATATTTGTCATTTTTGGCCAAAATATATATTTTCTAATTCTTGTTGAAAACAGCAAGTCAGATTGCAATAAATTTTATTCATTTTCTAATATCTTCTGTTCTTTAATTGAAATGTGCATTGCTAACAGCGGAGCTATCTCAGCCAACAGGCTGCTTGTTGTAATTTTGTTTTATTATATTTCCAGATGTTAGTTCAGAAAGCCAAGATGCAGATAACCATAATGAAGAAATAACTATGATCACAGACAGTCAGGTACAGTGACTTGTTTAGAATAAAATAATGAGGTTTTTACGAAGATACCTCAAAGTATGCCGAAGATAGTACTGCTAGAGTATCAACCAACGCGTGGCCAAGTTCGATGTGCGGCGAACTGTCTGAGTGCATACTTTGAGGTACCCTCGTAATAACCTTATTATTATACATCTTTTCTTTCCAAGGATACATCATGGAAATGTCTAAACTCAAAAAGTTCAGAGCAGAATCAGTGAATTTCTGTGTGTATAGTCCTGTCAAACCTTGTTGCCAGCCATGTTTGTTTTTATTATTAGAGGACGCTTACGCGCATAATCATTCCATATTTGGAATCCTACCATTTCCTAATATGGTAGGATGAAAATACCCCTTAAAATGCAACAAAATTACAGCACGCTGTAACGAATAAGGTGTTACGATGATAGATGTATAATAATATCTTTTAAACTCTTTTTTTTTTAAATGACTAAATGTAATGTATTTTAAATTTCTTTACTTAAAAAAACAGTACACAGATATTTTATGCCTAACGGATGGAGTGATATCATGCAGTGGTGAGTGTGCTGGGCACACCGATAAACACAAAATGTTCATAAATAATTATGAGCATAATTATTGTGGCAGAAGAACAGTTAAGAAATTTGGGTATGGAATGAACTTTGTGTCTTCAAAGGTAAGTTGATCAAATTGATTGGCCATTTTGTCATCCTGTATCTATTTTTTTCTCTAAATGATTTCTTCTTGCTTCCATACTTGTGTATCTTGGGTGGAATAATATTAGATTTAAATATTTCTGGTGATATTCTTGAATTCTGGTTCTTATTAGAAATTGGTAGACTTGAATGTCGTACACATAAAAACTGGTTGTTTTAATATATTAATAATTTTACAGGTGTATGAAAAGATACAAGAAAGACTATTAAAAGAACACTTAATAAAAAAACATCTGACAAAAAGGTACACTTAATTGCATTATTCTTACTGATGTCGAGCTGAGTTTATCATATAAGTGGTTGTCCGTGATCGTCTGTGTCAACTTTTTACTTTTTCAACTTCGTCTTGAGAACTACAAACTTCTCACAGATTTGTTCATGTATGTGTGTTGCTAAAAACGGGGCGATCTCAGTCGAGAGGCTGCCTGTTTATTACAGCTCTTTTAACACCAGCATCTGCATTGCAGCCTTGCCTGAGGTAGTCTGATAAGAGTTGCTAGTGAAATTAACAAAACATGTAAACACCTATGTGTACTGAATAGGCTGAGATGGGATTACGTACAACATAATAAATTTGCACACAACACTGTCACTCTTTTTAAGTATTGAAAGTGTGTGTGTGTGTGTGTGTGTGTGTGTGTGTGTGTGTGTGTGTGTGTTTATATACTGATACATGTATATTGCACCACTCGTCAGATTTCAATGGAACTTGGTACATTTGTGCCCAGGACAATGCACAGAACTGATTGAGTTGAAATCTGTGCATAATAATTACCTAATTTTCATAATAATTAATCCATCTAAAAAATCAAATGCCTGGGAAGAATATGAAAGAAATTGAAGTATACTAATTGCCTACCGGAATTTGTATAATATGCATAATCATTTCATTGAAATTTTGAAACAGCGATGCTTAATCTCTATTATACACACTTGAATGTATTCAATGTCATCAGATATAACCGATTTTGAATATTTATGATACCTTTATCAAGTATATAATCATAGTGCTACTGATTATATTTCATTATTAGGTGTAAAATTTCGCTATACATTTTTTTTTTATTTCAGTATTTTTGAAACAAGTACACAAATGGTTTGCACCTCCAACAAAACAATATTTATGAAGAAACAAGCCAAAAAGTATCCCATGTAGTAAGTAAAGTGTAATACTTTTTATTAGCTCCGCTGTCGACTTTGTCGAGCGGAGCTTATCATATGAGTGATTGTCCGGCGGCGTCCGGTGTCTATGTCAATGTTTTACTTTTTCGACTTCTTCTTGAAAACTACAGGCCTGAATGCTTTGATACTTCGTGTATATGTACCTTGGGTAGACCTCTCTCACATTTGTTCATTTTCTAATGATGTCTTCAGTTCTTTAATTGAAATGTGCATTGCTAACAGCGGAGCTATCTCAGCCGATAGGCTGCTTGTTTTATTTGAAACATCAACAAATCATTCCCTTAGTACACTGTTATTTCACTATAAATATAGATACATGCATGGTTTTCCTGTTATCATATATACTTGAACTATTCCAAATAATAAACTAAATTTATGTAACTTGTTAATTATTGTGATGTTACAGTGTACTTGTGCAACCCCATGATGAATTAAAAAGACTACTCACAAACATTTATTATTAAATAAACATTAAAAAAAAAGTAAAATTATAACACAACTATGTCTACCTGCAATGTACAATCTAAATGGCTACCATGGCCACAAGATGTGAATGGTGATAAACCACTTGTACCATGCTGATATTTTCATCTTCAACTAAAAAATGTTTGTTTCATTTTTTCTAGTTTTGCTACAAGGTTCATTGGAGACGTTTTGTTAAAAGAGGCAATTGCATTTTTAGTAAAAAGGAAGAAGAACGTTTCTTTACATGAAGCAGATGAACTTTGTGCTCAAACAGACATATTGAGAGAAGAAATTTAATTTTTTTCACATTTTACGTCATAAAGACCATCAGACGTGCTGCAATACTTTTATTCAAACTTTGCATTAACATCACTCATGGTATGTTATTGTTACCACCTTGCACCAATTTGTTAGTAACTAAATTATGCCCTGAGATTAAAGTATTTTGCTCGACTAATAATAGAGACCAGATTTTCAGTAAGATATTCTCAAAGATGTTAATTAATGCATTTACTAGATATGTTATTTTTGTTATATTATAGTTATAGATAACTATTTCACTCATTTTCTTTTTTCCTTAAATGTTAAAATATTTGTATTGTCGGCAGAATTTTGTTGAAAGCCATTTTAATTTTGACTCACCTGGCCAAAAATCAAATCTAAGCATGCTAGCAGAGAGGGTACGTAATGTTTTAAGCTTGGCACAGTGGTAACACAACACAACACAACTATGAATTCAAAATGCATTGATATACAGGAAACCGTCTAGATTGTTATAGAGTGATTTGTGCATGTGCCACTCTAAAATGCTGTAAACTCATAGCTGAATCTATGGAACTGATTATTATTGTTCTGCAATTGGCAAGGCAGATATCTTATGAATACCATATTTGCTATATTTAACAGAGTACCCATAATACTCAACATATAAGAGGCTTCAAACAAAATTTTACTGACAGTAAAACTCTAATATAGTAAATGTATTATAGAACTTGTGATTACATATGTAATCATGCACATCCCATCATGCATTGCTTGGCTTGTAGTTAAATTAATAGCATCATAGTTGTGGCAAAATGTCTGCCGTCATTGTCATTTTAAAATTTACTGGTGGTACCGGTAGTGATAACTCTGATAAAAGTAAGCTTATCATTATCAAACTTCTAAATATTTTTCTGTATGCATAGATAACCTCTAGTTTTAGTAGTTGATCTGCCAAAAATATTAGTTTTGGTAATTTATATATATATATATATTTTTTATGTAATATATCTATACATCGGACTGTTTTATTTTATTCCAAGGTGATTGGTAGGGAGATAACAGTTTCAAAATATAACTATTATATGTGATCAGTTTATTATGGTGCCCACTGTAAAGGGTCTTTAATTTACATTTATGTGTTGAGTGAAATACTTTTCAAAGTAGATGTTAGCTTCTGCAAATAATTCTGGGTGTCAGGTACATATTTGCATTATATTTGATTTGAACTTTGGATGGCAGGTTACAATTCATGCTATTCATCAATATGTACATTGGCAGCTATGGAAGCTGTGCAGAGGTGGAATTTCTACTTTAACTCATGAGATTTGACCAATTTATTATTAAAACAACATTTACAAGACTGGACTAGGGTGCATACTTTACGCAGTTATAATAGCATTGTTTTTGTTGTGCAATAGTTGATTTGTAACATTTCAACACCTATAACAATGTGTTTTTTAATAAAAACAACTATTACATTCTACTACTATTTTGGTGCCATTGCTGTAGTTAAGTATAACAGTCCCT